AGGGATACTTTGATTAGTGGTGCTTGCTTAGTGAGATTTTACACCTGGTCTCACTAGGTGTAGCATTTACATCAGAAAAATAATTTTTTTAAAACAACATTTAGGAAACACGAAATGGCATTGTGATTTCTATAGGTTCCTATGGAGTGCTTGTGCTCTGGACAAAAATGTTAATTAATAGGTGTTGCTGCTAAGATATGCAAGTTAGTAAATTTAAATTGTGGCAAAAGGCCAGAAAAAGAGGCTGGGGGCTCTAATAAACAGAGCTCTTAATCTGTAATTTAAAACAAAGAAGAGTAACTGAATTGAATGCATAGCTGGATGTTTCCAGTTTGGCTACTTTGACCATAGATTTTAATTCAACTTTGAATTCTCACTTTAGTGAATAACCATGTTAGTTATTTATCAGTATTGCATATCTTTCCACTAACTGTTTGTTATACAGTACAGTAAAATTCTTTGTAGTATTCTTAATAAGCCACTAGGTGGCAAGCAAATCTCCACTGGGAGGAGATTGCTTAGTTCAATAAGGAAACATGTTAGTTCTGTTCTTTGTAGCATTAACTCAGAGGCCATTAATGTCTCAAAAGGGTTGTAAATGCACATAATGTGGTACATTAAGATAGCAAACAAGGGATTTTGATTGCTACACTATTGTGCCGTAAAATACATGAATTAGCATTACTTCAAATGTGAGAAAAATACTTTATACTAAACTGCAGAGTTTTAATCAGACAGTAAAAATGTCATATTTGTCTTAAAAGAAGAAAAACAACAACATTATATTCTGTTATGAAGAGGACTACACTGGCATGCGTTTGTATAATTATGTAAAAGGCCACCATGCAAAAGTGGAAGTATCTTTTGATTTTTTTTTGATTTTTGTAGCTGAATTTTGATTCCTTTTTTTTTTTTTTAATACTAAACTCTAGTTACTACCAGAATTTCTGGGAACAGTCCTCATAAGTCATTATACATTGACTGCTAGCTCTCCAAAATGTTCTGCAAACTTTTAGTTAAATATCCAGCTAAGTTTGTGTGGACAGCTTCCAAAAAGTTTATATGTAACTTTACAGTGTTTTTAGATAGATAAAAAGACAGACAGACAGATAGATAGCCAGATAGACATAGATAGCCAGCATGACCCCAAATCAAGATATTTCTAAGTTAGAGATTACACTCTTCCTTACCCGCTCATGCTCAGATTAATACTCTTTAACCAAGCAACATTGAGAGGATGGGTTGCTGGGGACTCTCATTTAGAATTAAATAATTAAGAACAGTTTAACCGTAACAAGCAACAATAGAAGAATGACACCAAGGGACCTCAGACACTATAACCACTTCAAAGAGATGAAGAAGTTACCGTGTCCCTATAAGTATCATTGGAATTGTAGTTCTAACATGTGGATCGAAATTCTGTCCACACTTGACTTGAATTATATTAACATTTTAGTTCACTTTGCCATTATAATCAGCAGAATATGACATCATAAAATATAAATAGTCCAAGCATCGAATAATCTCCTCATCACTATGGCTGTCACACACTTAGATACTCTGATTCCTTTAGTGTTTCCGACTCATGCTCAATCCTGGACAGCTTAAAAGACAGAAAAAATCCCAAAGGCTCTCTTCAAACAAAGACTTCTCAGTAAAAATGAAACCCGCCTAAGTAAATCTGAGCTGTGCTTTGTTTTGACAGGTAGGATTTGCCATTCTCCCTTTGTGATAGGAATATAGGTATTCGGTTTGATCTGTTTAAAATGTAACTGGACTAAAGCAATAAAAGATTTTGATTAATTTCACAAACACATGATGTAAAGTGGCAGAACATGGTATTCCTTGCAAACCAGGGCTGGTGTAATGAAGTTGTGCTGCATATACTCTGCAGTAGATTTCTATTTGGTACAGATCCCCCTGTGTATTTTGGGGGTACATGTTGTCTAAAATGCTTGTCTTGCATAGAAATATAATGCAGAATATATCTTGCTTTGTACTGCTTGTTATTTAGTATTTTACCAAGCTTTAGTGAGTTTATATATATTTTGAAAATACATAGAACACCATTGTTTGCCTTGAACATATAGTAATCCACTGATAGCACTGTGGCAGAATGATTGTACAGCAAATGCTCAGAAAAAAAAATCATATCTGTGCATCTTGACAAAATGAAGTGCTCACTTTATATACAGATGGGAGTGGGTGGAATATTTTACTGCTGATGGAATGTTCAGTTGGACCAAGAATGTGGTTTGATGCACAACCATAATAAGAAGATATTAATGGCAATCCATTTTGGCAGGTTGAGTGACATGATTAGCAGCACAGAAACATACAATTTAATATCAGGTGATGCAATTAAAACATCAGTTTGACTCACAATGTTAAAATACATTTAACAAAAAAAAACAATATGCATCATCAATGATTACATTAGAATATAAATGCGTATTGGTATTGATTAGAAAAGAAATACACAGGTGATACACTAATATAAGTACAATGTGTTATAAACATTTTCACATTTTCACAATAAGTATAAAGATAGGTAAGTGTATAATCGGAATTACTTCAAAATGAAGGACATTTTTTTCCTTACTCTCACACTAACAGTAAAGATAACTTTAATTTGATAAAATTAGTAACTCGTCGTAAAAACCTGAAAGGAACACGATAGGGTCAGGAACATAAATGTGTATTCCTGACCCTGTAGTATTTAAAAGCACTGATCCAGAAAGCACCTCTAGTGGGCGTCTGAATGACTGCCACTGGAGGTGTCCCTAGGCAGTAATGTAAAGGCAGTGTTTACATGAAAATGCCTGCAGGGTCATGCTATACTCACCAAAACAACTTCATTGGTGGCCCTTTAAATTGTACTATACCAATGGTCAACCAAGCAAATTATTAAAGCCAAACATTTACTAACATAAACCACTGGCACTGGCCAACAAATGCACAACAATCAGCTACGACTTTCTATACTGGAGCTGTAATCAGTAGGAATTTTGTTCTAGGAAGAAAAACCTAAAGTAAACATAAAAACACTAGACTAATAATCATTCACAAAAAAAACCTTGCTAAATATTACTTGAACATATTGTCTCATTCTTTACAATTAAAAATGTATTACCCATATTTCATCATGTGATACATTTAAAACCTTTATGTATTTTAATTAAAATGTTATATATTTTTTTTTTTTAGATTTTTTTTTTAGATGTGTTGGATTCTGTGGTACCATGACATTAAGGATGAAAATTGAATATTCCCTGTTAGTTTAAGTACTACAAGATCCTCTGTAAAAGCACCCCAAGCAGTCAATTTAAGAGAATGTTATTGTGTGTTATTGAGTGACTCCAGCTGAGGAACACCATTAATACTGGACCTGACCTGAGACATCCTTAATAGGTCACGCTGTTTGTACTCAACAGCCTGACCATAAAGGGGTTTCTGGAGGCTAAAACTCCTGTTTATCCCCTGTGAGAGAGAAGTGTTTATCCTCACCTCACATATTATCCTCACATTATTCCCTATGGTAGTAATAAATGTGCTGTATAAGAACTCAAATAATAAGAGCAAAGATGTAGAGGTCCTCTTCCTCCATCTCGCTTGCACGTCTAAAAAAATGGCTTGCTTAATGAGTACAGCTTTCAGACTCAACTTGAAACCACTAGCTAAAAAGATACATTTTCATCCATCCATCCAAGTCTGATCATGAATGTTTATCCTAACCTTCCTTCTATGAAATGTATTATCTTCTTAAATCCTGTAATATGTATGCATTATAATATGTATTTTTATTTTATTTATTTTTTTATAAAACACAAGCAATCTGCCGTAAATGTTCCATCAGTTGTCATTTGTACAGAATTATTTTCGGTGATAAAGTGAATTTTCTTGTGTGTAAAGAGAACAAACCCTGCTCAGAATGTCTTTTGTCATATAATGGGTAAGATCAATATTTTCATATGAATTATTAGGACATGAAATATATCTCTCTGGGGACCATGTCCACTGAGGACAATATCCTTAGCAGATGAAAATGAGTGCTAAATAATAATGGTATATTGCTAAACATTGATGTAAGCATCCATAAAAAAATATTGTAAATCCAATGGTGTTTGGTCTAAAGGGAGATCTTAGATCTGCTATATTACGCATGATGTTACATGGTAATGTTAGTATTGAATAAATCCACTCTAGATTAGCCACAAATGCAACATTAAGGAAAGTATTTTTACTCAGTGTCTGTGAAGCTATCATGTATGATAAATAATGCACTATCCTGTATAAAATCTTTATAAAAAGCTATTAGGACTATCAAAGGATATGTAAAGGTCACAGTTCTTTGAACAGTATTTGCACCGGTAAAAAAAGAAGGCATAATGCATCAGATATTGTCAACCGATCACTGCCTTTTAAGGTATTAACAGAACAAGTTTATGTATTTATATATTTCCATGAATCCATATACTGTGCATCAATGAAATAGTGCAGAAACAAATGCACATATAACTATTAATACAGCTGCAATAACAATCTGTATGCGAGTTCGGAAATATGTGACTCCTGCTTTATACCCAACATTTATAGAGTGTTTTACTGATCTGGAACGCTGATACAAAGGAATACTTTATTCAGTCCCAACTTTCTTACTGTAGGAAGAGCAATGGGAGTATGTGTCACCCCTTTTGATAAGAGCAATTTGGTTCCCCCATGTTTTTGCTTAACACTATTTGCTTAACAGAGTGAAGACAGAGGAAAGGTGACCTTGGGGTAAAGTAATGGAAACATTGGAATCAGGAGAAAAACAATTAATTTACTTATCTTACATGCACTACAATGTATTGTCGCTGATGGTATCTGTAGGGGCAGACATTAGTACCGGTTGGCCACAAAACATTGGTCTGAAGGTTGCAAACTATGTATTTTTTGCTACAAATATCTACAGGCTATTAGTAGTGATGGTGCGAACCGTTCGCAGTGAACTCCGGTCAGCTGACACATCCCTGCCAATCTCCGGCAGACCCTCCCTCCCAGACCCTCCTACTTCCTGGACAGCATCCATGTTGCAGACCCTCCCTCCCAGACCCTCCTACTTCCTGGACAACATGGATGCTGTCCAGGAAGTAGGAGGGTCTGGGAGGGAGGGTCTGCTGGAGATTGGCAGGGATGTGTCAGCTGACCGGAGTTCGCCACGAACGGTTCGTGGCGAACCGCGGCGAACCGTTCGCGGCAAGTTTGCAAACGGTTCGCGACATCACTAGCTATTAGTAGTAGAATGATATTTAATTATCGCATCCTAGTGTAACAATGCAATGTTTTGTGGACAATTTTTATAAATAAAATAAAATAAATAAATTAGAAATGAGTTGTAAATAGGCAAAAGCCAGCAATATGTGAAGACTGCTTATCTTGAACTTGACTAAAGGTGGAAGCTAAACTCAGTTGATAATTTACCAAGATAATTACTAGATTGATAATGCAATTACATATTTTTAAAGATGCAAAGCTTACTCCTTTCATGAGATGGACCTGCAGGATAAATGCAGGATAACCTTTTTTTTTTATAATTATTGCTTTTAGATTTAATTACTACATCTATGCTTTCCTGTGGCCTGTCGCAAAGTGCAACAAGGAGGACAAAACATATAGTGCTTTGCTTGTAATCCAGCATGTTTTCACAGAGCTTGTTTATCTGTTCTAAAATATAATTAATACAATATTTTAAAATATAATATTAAATATAAAATAAATATTCCTGAATATCAAAATCCAACTATAAAAAAGATGCACGCATTTCTCCCTGGTTTCTATCCTTAGAGTAATGTTTTAATGGTATCTCCCCAACCTTTCTTGTTTTTTGTTTTTTTTAGATACACCATATCCCTACTTTTTATGTAAAGGGTTTGTGTAAAAGAGATCTCAAGGGCTGACAAGCAGCGGACAGGAGAAGGTCACTGGCATAGCAAAGAGACCGAGAAAGAGTAATCCTATGAATCAGTGAATAGCGACTGGAGGAGAAAATCAGACTGGCAGCAGCATTCCTTACAGATTGTAGGGGGCAGTATGGCTTCTGAAAAGACTAATTAGGCGAGAATTACAGTAATCAATGCAAGAAATTACTAGAGCATGATCAAGTTCCTTAGCAGCATCTTGGGTAAGAAATAGGCGGACTTGGGCAATGTTTTTAAGGTTGAATCTACAGGATTTGGCAACAGAGGCTCAAAGGTGAGGCCAGAGTCAAAGATAACCCCAAATCAGCTGGTTTGCAAGGAAGGATGGTTGCAGGTGCCATCAACTTGAAGCGAGAGGTGAAAAGTAGGATCATTATTATGAGGAGGAAATACAAGAAGCACACTTTTAGAGATATTGAGTTTCAGAAAGCAGGATTACATTACACCTTGTTCCAAATTATTATGCAAATTATATTTTTCTCATTTACCTAAATAATTGATGTAAATAACAGTCAGCATAATTCTCATGTTATCAACTATTAAGAGTACAATTCAAATGTTATTGAACAAACCTCCTAATGATAACAGTATTTTTTTTTTTACATAAAAAACTTACAATGCACTGTTCCAAATTATTACGCACATTAAGTTTCAAAACACCTTATAGGTTGTAAAGAACTGAAAATTGTCAAATACAAAACGATAAGTAAAGAGGTATTGTGCACCTCCCTCTTATATAATATGGACAAACTACTGCTATAGATGGAGTGTGAGAATAGGTAGAGCCATTTACTGGGTCTCCCCTGGTTTTAATAAACCCAAGGCCAAGTAAGTGACTTTATGCTGTATATAAAGCCAACTGGGTGGCTGACTACTACTGAGCAATGATTCAGATAACCTTATTTATTTATTTTTAAATTGTGGCAATGACACTTGTTTTATTTTATTATAGAAAATCACATATAATTCAGGTAGGCTAGAGGTTCATGAAAGAAGGATTTGGAAAACCTTTATATTAGGAATACACATGAAAAAAGTAAAGTGAGATAACAGCAAATGCAATACACATTGCATAGATTCACACGGACTGAGAAATAGTTACATGTTTAAAGCAATCAATTCTTACCGCATTCGTTTATTATAAATGAAATGTGGTTAGTTTGATCTCAGTTGTCTTACAAAAAAAAAAAAATACTCCCATTTTTACTGTATTAAGCATCTAAAAAGGAACCAGAGAGAAAAGTAATCCTATTTTACAATATCATTTTGTATCAGTTGAGTAGGTAAAAATTGTATCTCAAACCTCAAATTCCATAACACTACACTTGTATGCGTTGTAAGAATCTGTAATTATAAATGCCAACATATTGCTTTGCTGTGCACTAGAGAGATAGCCTACACATTTGTGACAGACTGAAACACACAGAAACAGATGGTATTGATGGAGATGATAGCCGCGCATGTTAGTGTACCCTTCACACGAAACATGGGTAATTGATTCAGGAAGTGTAAGTGATTCTATACGGAACAAAGTCTAGCCAAAGATATATGAACGAGCCCATTCATCACTGTGAGATATTTATCTCACGGCTGATGTATAATACTACTCATCAAGAAATTATTATTTTCTCTAGCTATATGCTGAAGTTTGAGCAGATTATACAGCATGGACAAATATCAAAGGCCATCACCTCATTAATACTTTCTGACTGTATAATGACAGCACAAACACATTAGTTTACAAACAAATATACACTAGAAAGATGTTTAAGCTATATTTACATTCACATTCGCTATATTAGTGTGCTACTTGAGTCAAAGGAAAAATAGATCTCACACCTTATATGACCCTTGATTGAATCCACAGTAGGTGCTCTCCATGGTATAACTTCTCAAAACACCAATCTCTCTCCACACCACGACTCTAGCTGTTGATTCCCGTGATTTTTCCACTAAAAAGCTGCAGCTGCCCATTGAAAATGCTGGGGCTATTTTATTCAGAATTTTTGGTAATGTCTGTAAAAAAAATGATACATATTATGGAGAATAAAACAAAAATGAGCAAGTGAGGGTACTTAGTCTCTCATTTTACCTTTTATAAATCACCGAATCAGTTGTTACATATGATCTTATTTGCATTATATAAATAAAAAAAGACTAACTTACTGTATAATTAATACTCAAATCCGTCAACAGTGGAACTTGATCTAATTTACCCAACTACCCAACATTAGCTCTTTGAATTGAATATCTTATCCCTTAGGTAAGGTAAGTAGTTCCAACATAACTCAAAGCAGACAATCCAAACTAGAACTTCAAGCTAATTGTTCATTTGATTCTCTCGTTCTATCATTTTCTTGCATTTACCATTATTCCTCTTTCTTATACCAGCAATATTTGTAATCATCTATTTTTTGTGTAATTTATAAATACTTTTTAACAATTTGTTTTCATCAGTGATTACCTAATAATTATTTGTGAAGGTGGGTGTACTCATGTTCTCCTTTAAGAAGTGTTAGCATACATACTTTGTATAAATCACTAAAGGGAGGGAGACTTCAGAAAATGTAGTACTTCCTCTACTCGTGATTTAAAAGCTTTCGTAGCAAAACAAGAATAGTGTACATAGACACATGATTGTAAAAGATAAAAAACAGACCAAATATTAACTCTTAGTAATAAAGGCAACAGAAAGGAAAATAGAAGATTGCACATAAAATGATTTTAAAAAGCCTCAGCTAGTATCTTACTAATGCCTCACTAAGTTTAAAGTATGTTAAGGTATACAATGTTTCCCAAGTAGGCTTTTTTAATATCCATGCCACAAGAAACATTGTTATTATGCAAATTATGCAAAAAAGTAGAAAGGATCCATTCTAGTGGTATCTAGACTTGGCACTAGATCAATTTTTACTTTGTCTGAATGTATTCGGATGGAAAATAAATGTGTTTTGTCAGAACTGAATTTCATCCATTGACTCATTCGTTTTCAAATAAAATTCGGACATTTTTTTTGTTTGGGAGAACCCATTTGTTAATTCATCTAACTCTTCCATGCTATGTCCCTATGCTAAAGCAAAAGTATTGAAAAATGGCGAATGCTTCATCTGAATGCACGAACGGCTCATTTGTTAAGTGCCCATTCATTGGAAGAATTGAAGAATTTTGTTTAGTGCCCATTCATTAGTTCACGCGGCTCCCCATTCATTATACGGTATTTAGAATAATGGACAGAAATGCAGATTTTCATCCAAAAATCCATTTGTATGAATACGAATGCCCAAGTCTAGTGGTATCCACCTGACATCTAGGCACTTACGCATTTTTTGCTTTGAAACATATTGATTTATTTACTATATATTTCAGCATTTTTGAAAAAATCCCAACAAAACTTCACTGAGAAAATGTATTCCCAATTGATAGTGGTTGGCATAGAAATGTGTCTATTTGGAAAAATATCAACATACATTTTGTAAATATTTTACAATCAAAAATATTACAAATATAAAAACTTCACCAAAACAAAGCAATTCAATGTATTATGATACTTTACATAGGAAACATACATTGCAGTCTTTTTCCTAAATCTCTCTTGCAGTTAAATGCTTTGCTTTCATCAATTTTACTTTTATGTTCTAATTATGTTGCAACCAATGTTTCACCTTCCCTTGAGAAGACCTGAAATATTAATAGTTTAAGTACCTCTGGCCTTGTACGATATATGACTGTAAGTTTGGCACACTTGTAAGGAATACTATTTAAAGCAAATCTCACACCCTGGAGATTTTATTGTGCCAGGCCAATTACTGTTTGTGTGGGTTTTTAATCTGATTTTCATTTTGCAATAAATTTTCCATTTCTAAACATTCTAGAATAATAGAGGTTTCCAAATAGTATTTGGAATGAAGTTAAACTACCTTCAACTCATAGGAGACTGGTTATCCCTTATTAAGTTACACCATAGAGATGTCCTGCCTGCCAAGCTCTAAATTTAAAGCTTTCTCTCCAATTCTTTAATGTGTTTAAAGCTCTCTCTCTGATTATTTGATGCAGTATGTTAAGATGAATCACTGTAACTAGTTCTCTGTTTTGATTTCCCAACAAACTATGTTACCTACTCAAAAAATAAAAAAAAGACACAACTAATGACTGAACACATTAAAGGCTCCATATGCCCCTTTTACAGTGGTCACCTAAATACATAATAGACAACTCTAGTTGGAA